GAAGCAACTAAAATGCTCGAGGACTTACCTTAATACTCGATCTCGAGGAGGGCCAAAGAAGTTACTGAGAGTGAAAAGGTGAAAAATGAAGGAAAAAAGAGGTATTTATAGCCATCTTAGGGGGGGGGGAAGACGAAAGGTTGCCTCCTTCGCCATCAGATCTTGCCACGCGTCATCCATCCAGGCAAAGAATTCTAACCGCCATTTTTTTTACCAGGGCTGACGTCATCATGATGTAAACCCTTACCCACGATCAAAAAACATGAGCGAAACAGATCGGCATCGAGCACACAGCAACACTGCACCCATCCTCGAGACTCGAGCACGGATGCACGGGGGCCAGTGATATGGTCATAATATTTTACCCCGAGCACGAGCACTTCGATAGCCGAAGTATCTTTCCTTGATCGAGCATCCTCGGGCATAGAATATCCCCGGGAAATCTCGAATTCAGACTCCTATTCAAATTCCAATGCTCCTGAAAATAAGGAGATGAGTTACACATGAACTACATTACCTACCACTATAAATATGCCACTTTCATTCATTATTCAGGTACGTTTTTTCATATATATATATTCTGCGTATACTCTTAGCTTCCCCGTCTGACTTTAGCATCGGAGGGGCGACGATGACACACCTCTTCGCCTTTGTTTCAGGTAACGGAGGATCTTGTTCGTGGTCAATCTCAGAGGTCAAGCTCGGAATTCTACAGGATACGATTTTTGGTAAGATCAGTTTGAAAAAACTTTTTATAAAAAATTTAGCAGATCTCAATAAAAAATAATATAATGTGAAGTTGAAAAGTTAATAAAATTATGAGTTTTATGAAATATGTATTTAAAATCAAAGTTTCACCAGTTAAAAAATATGATACTTCTTTCGTCCTATAAAGATAGACTCGATTCCATTTTTACATGGATATAATTGAAAATATAAATGTTTCTTCTATTTTTCCTAATATATTCTTAAATTAAATAAAAATATGTTAGAAAACTAAAAAATCAAGTACACTCTTCAATAAATAACAAAACTTGAATCGAGCATGTTTGAAAACTCTTGTTCGATTGAATCATTAAAAGCTTTGGATCTACCACTTAGGGGTGGGACCCCACCCCCACTTGGATGCAATGTGGTGCTCCAGCAATCATTTGCAAGCTGACCACTTCTCATGTTTTTCATTCAGATAATTATTGCCTTGACAAGGAAAGAACTCCCATGTCAATAATTTCAACAGTACATGTCTTTTTCTAAGTTGTACAAATCATATTCACTGAACCAATACAAATGTTTAACATAAAATGTTAAAATAACTTCTCAAAAATTCTATCATAAGCTCCGTTCGTTTTTTATTTAAATAAGATTTTAATGTAAATCAAGGTCAAATAATTAATATTAATCACATCTTTCAAGAGTCCCACAACTTTTCAACCACACATTTCAAAAATTTATATCACAATCTACTAAAAATCTAATTTTAATTCTCACCAAACACTCTTATATATGATAACATAAGTGTATATTTTCCATTTACACATATGAATAAATCTATAAATAAAAGTATTGCACAAGAATACTATTATCACACAAGCATGAATGCAAGATTCCATAATATCGTCAATCCTCATTGATTTTAACATATATCGTTAACAATTATTGTTACAGAATCTTGTTCATAAGAAAATGTGATTTCCAGTAAAATAAGCTATAAGGGGAAGGGACGTATCAAAATTTAACAAGCATGTAATCTTTTCTAAAGAACTCGCTGCTTCAAATTTCTCAATAGAAGTAATATAGAAGAGCGTAAAATAACAAAAATATTCATATAGTCGATTTTAAAATTATTGAAATAACGGTTAGTTTGCATTGAACTTATGAAGTGGGAAAATTCGAATCAATTTAAACAATAACACACACACACACACATATTTACCTGACTTGAGATCAACTATGATGCTTACATAGCCCCCCGGGGCACATTCGAGTTGGTGGAACAATTGCATTTGTGGGCTCGCAACCCCAGCATGGACAGTTCGATTCCTAGAAGGCACGAGTCTTGGAAGGGAGATTTTCTCGAAGGCAAGACAATGACTGGAAGGCAGTGAGGAGAGCTCTCTTGGGGTCAGGAGTATAAGCGGTGCAGGAACCTGGAAGTTAACAAGGGCATAACCCGCGGTTTACCTCCTCGAGTTGCTGAGGGGTCGGTGGCTAGAGATCCAGGATTTAGTCTGACTAAGCTGGGATACCTGGGTAATAAAAAAAAAAAAACTATGATGCTTACATATAACGAGTCCCAATCAAGCCCAATTTTTCAATGTACTTCGTCCTTGGATATGCCCTCAGTTTCCCACAATCAGTAATTTTACTTTCGGCTTGAAGTGGACCTGTTTTCGTTTAAGTGGGTTGGTATCATCAGTCAATTCAAGATAATACCTTTTCAGTCAAGAAAGGAAGTTTCAAACACTCATTTAAAGATAGATCAGGAAAAAAAAATATAATTTTGAGGTTACGTTGGTATAATTTATGTGACGTATATGAGATAATAAATAAAATTTTAACTTATTTTCATAATTAATTTTTTGTAGGTGTTAGAATTAGGGTATGACTAAAAATTCTACTTTTGAACATAATTGAGAATTCTAATTAAAGTTGACTTAAAAAGAAATTCTTTTGGAATTTAACTTTGAAATTCTATTCGAAGTTTATTTGGTAAATCTTAGTTGAAATTCTGTTAGGAAGTACAATTGAGAGTTATGAATTTGTGTTGAACTTGAAGAGGTCAAGATATGGACAATGAAGCTTTTAGAAAGTAAAATAGGGAAGAAAATCAAATTCAACCCGAAACACGGCGCCTCAATGTCGCTCGATTATTGCCCACCTACCACTTGAGCGGTGCCACCCGAGATGGCTGTAGCTTGGGGCTCGGGTGGCGGGCTTATCCAGAGTCCAATTTGGTTTCGTATTTTTAGCGCGTTTTAGCATTCTATTTCATTTGTAACTCTACTTTTGAGACTTGAAACATCCCCTATATATATATTTAGCTCTCAATTGTATTTTAGATTAAGTTAGATAAATTAAAAACATAAAGTCATTATATTCTTTCTCTATATTTGAGTGAAAACTCCATTCATTTGCCAATTATTTTATTATTGAGTTTGTGATCAATTACTTCATATTATGTCACATTATTTTCTCGTCTATTTTCACAATAAATTAGTATCAAAATATTCGATATTTTCGTTGTCGTGTATAACAGTAGGGTTATTGAGTTTACTGTAAATAACATATAATGAATGTAGAAAAGTTTAGACTAATTAGGGTTAACATTTTAACCCATAAATTTTAATTATTGATTTCTGACATCGATAATAATATTAAAGAGGCCCTACTAAGATTTCATGCATATTTCTTATCAAATTGGACACTTACAAGGGTGGTGTGATTACCTCAATGATGTCTAAGAGAAGGAAAAAAAAAAAAAAGTGGGAGTGAAATGAATAGAAAATAGTATCTATAGGAGATTATATCAAGTGGCTAGATTTCCTATTAGGATTTGTGATTGACTCAACTTTCATGGATAAAACTTTGGCCAATTTCCATTTTGGAAATCATACTATGCAAATAAAGTTAAAAGGTATCTTGGCCCTACTAAGATTACAAGCTTAGTTGCATATTAGATTCTACATTATGTGTCATTATTTATAAGTTAGTAAAAAAGCTTAACTGAGATAATCCATCACCGAAATGATGAATGCGACAAGTAAGTTGTCATTTTGCGATGTAAGGATAACAGGGAAGACGTGCGTATAAAGATATTAATTCTTTCCTTCATACCTTCTAAATTCGAACTTCGAGTTTCGACAAGCCAATAACATTTTACCAAAACATACACTTAAAGGGGGTGTTGGAGAATTTTCAATAAAATCCTATATTTTGGGTTAAAGTTTATCAATTACATGGAATGTAGATGGATAATAGTCATATAAATATTAAGAACATTTCTATCATTACACAATGTTGTGTCATAATAAAAGTATTCATTAAGCACACGCTCACACATGTATGTGTGTTTTTTTATATAATAACCATGATTTTCAATTAATAGTAAAAAAGTGATACGCGTGGAAAGTGAACAAAGCTTGAGACCAGCCATTATCCATATTTTACCATATGAAATATTCACGTGCTACTTCAAAAGGACGAAGAAGTACAAGTTTAAGGACAAATTTCAAAAGGATCAAGTAAATATATTGAAGGATCGATGGTGAACATTCCATTAGGTGTGAATCATCAACCTCTTTAGTCAATTTTACTTATACTAGTAACGAACGATGGTTAGATTCTGGAGCAAATGTTCTGCTTTTTAACTTTACATTATACTAGAAATCGCTATTCGAACATTTTTTTTTAGTCCATCAAACGGGGGCTTAATATATTCTCTAAATTAATTTGAAAAGGTGACAAAATAAATCACACCAAATAGAAAATCAACATAATTATACTAAATCTTGAAAAAAATTGTTTAAAGTAAGTGCATTAATGATCACTCATTTTTTCCACATATCTTCAACTTATTTCATTTAAGAATTAAGAAAACTTGACTCTGAAAATTTTAATAAAGCATGCAACACATTTACAATCATCACGACACCAAATTACGTATACTAGTAAAATTAAAATTAATTGCAATTCTTAAATAATAATAATTAAAGTAATAATATTTTTTTTAAGTGTTTAAGAATTGAAGGAAAACAAATTACGTCAGTTTTTTAAAGTCAATGGGAGTCCTTCGATGCGACCGCCATTATATGATTGGTCTTTTGTCAATAAAAAAACTACTTATTTTTCTCTCTGCTTTTTTCCTTTCTCACCCCGCTTCTGACGGATCCTTATATATAGATACAGTGATTCATTGTATACAATCATTTGCATATCTCTGCTTTTTAAATGATAATTTCTCTTTATCGAGGGAGAAGAACAGTGTGTAACACAATCTGGTGATGGAGGATGAAGGTTTTTCTACGTCTGAAGAGTTTGAGAAGACTCCCTATTTTGAGGAATCTGGAAATCGGAATTATGAAAGTGATGGTTCTGAGCAATCTGGCTCCAAGGCGTTGCCTGAATTCGATATGCAGGTTCTTTCAAGTGTTTTTGTACCTTTTGAAGTCTTCTTCTAGTATAGATCTATGTATGTGACTATAGATGCAGCCTGCATGGCTGCTTGTTTGATTTTGCATGTTTGTTTTGAGAGCAATGTTAGGGTACATAATTTATGTACTTAACTCTCACACCCACCCGTGGGACCCATCAGGTGAGTCACATCTCATGTGAGAGTTATGTACGTTATTATGTACAACAAGAATAATCCTTGTTTTGAAACTCGATATCGTCTCTCTCTCTCTATATGTATATGTATATATATAAGTTTTTATGTGGTGAGCTGGATCTTTTTATGTTTTTTATCTTGACAGAGTTGTGAATTTTTGTGAAAAACTATGATTGCGTGTAAATTTTTTTTTTCATAAAGATCTTCATTTTTATGTGTCAAAAAGGAAGTGTGTTGATGTTTAAATCTGTAATTTCATGGAGTTTCTTACCTTTTTCAGCAATTATAGAGCATTTTAGTTAAGCAAATCATGCATGAGTATTATTAATAATGCTTGTGTGTGTGTATATATTTCTTTGTATCTATTAAAATAATTCTTTTTTTAATGGATTTAGGAGCAAGGAATTATGGATTCTTCTGAAAACTCAAGCCCTTTAGGCTTGACCCTGCGAAAAACGCCCTCTTTTGTTGATCTAGTGCACAAGACACTCGAGAAAGGAAAGCAAAAAGTTCGTTCTCAGACCAAAACGAATTATGGTGAGAAAGCAAAGGCTTCAAATTTCCCCGCGAAATTGCTTCGAATTGGAACATGGCAGGTGTTTCCTTTTGTCTTCACTTACTTTTCGATAGATTTTCTTGATATGAAATTCTTAGATGAAAAATTCTACTTGTACATCAACTTTTGTACATAAGGAGCTACACCCCCCACATGGGAGGTGGGACCCACTGCATAAAATATTTTTTATTTAAGCGGGTCCCACCTCTCATGTGAGGGGAGTGTACACCCCGATGTACGTACATTGTGATGTACAAGTAGCAAAGCACTTCTTAGATGATGCTCTATGAATGGAAATTTTTTTTCGAAATGTTAATAGTACGAAGTTGATATGTGATAGAGGATGACTACATATGAAGGGGACCTGGTAGCAAAGATATACTATGCGAAACGCAAAATTGTATGGGAGATTCTACAAAGACCGTTGAAGTGTAAGATCGAGACACAGTGGTCTGATATTATTGGGATTCGAGCAATGATGCCTCCTAACGGAGAAGGAACTTTGGAAATTGAGGTTAAATCTTTTTGCCTTGTGTCATTAGTTAATGAATATAATGCAATGTTCAATTGTTGTCCATTATTAAGTTGTGTTCTACTTGTGGTAGGGAAGTATTTGAAAAAGAATAATGGCAACTCAATTTCATATATTACTGTGAAGCAAATTATACACCGAATCCATTGGAAATACCTTAACAGGCTAAAATACAATAATTCCACATTCAACACTTTAAGAAGATAACTAGATAAGAACTAGTATACAAAAGATATATACACTTAGAAGATAAACACAAGAGGTATGATGGCAATGGACCGCTCTGCTCGGGCCTTAGACACTCGAGCTCGACTCGACCTTAGCTCATATCCACAAACAAGCCTCGACTCATTCTTTGGGTTGTATGGATATGAGTCGAGCTCGACCCATGGCTCAAGAGGTCCATGTGCCAAGTGGATGAGTTGAGTTGTCTTAGCCTTGAGACACCTAAGCTCGGCTAGACCCAAAGGACAAAGTCGGGCTGGCTCATGTCCACAAACAAGGCTGGGCTTGTGTGGATGAGAGTCGAGCCTGAACCACAAGCTCAAGACGAGCTGGCTTGTGGGCCTCAAGAGTCGTTCCCGCTTGGCTCATGAAAAATATCGAGCTCGAATCAATCCAAAGCTCATCTCAATACGAACTCAAGCGGCACATAGGTCGAGTGGATGAGTCGAGCCTACGAACTAGTTGGACCGTTTGTCATCCTTAACACGAGGATTTATGTGTTATCTCTAACATGCCCTTCGAGATGATGGTGCCCTTAGCAACACCAATGTTGTACTAACGTAGTTGGAGTAATAGTGGTTTGGTTAAGCTATCTACACGATCAAAAATGAAGTGGAACTCAATTTCAAAATGTATCATTCGGAAGTGAAGCACTGTGTTCAAGCAAAGATAGGTAAAGACTACATTGTCATAGTAGATGAGAAACAAATGCCTGGTTTGCGTAGAAGAATTTTTATCAGTATGAGATGACCCATCGCTGAAGTGCATAAAGGTAGATGGGGACCTAAGTGTTTGAACCAACCAAAAACCATACATATTTGTATGATGGAGTAAATCATGAATATAATGGCGCTGAAAGAGAAATAGGTCGAAGGGATAACTTCCACACTTGTAAGAAAGAGAGAGGACCAAGATATTTGAGGGAAAAGTGATAGCCAAGTTGGGAAATAAAGTCAATGATGAATAAATAAGAGTATAATTAATGACAATGACAATTATGTTATCAACGAAAACAAGAGTATAGAGAGTTTAACCAACCTGATTAAATAAATAATGAAGTGTTGGAGCGATAATTCATCCATTTGAAGAAGGGAGCCACGGAGCTCATGGTACTACGTAAACGAGAAGCCTGCTTGAGACCATAGATAGCCTTGTGCATGCACAAACATAGGTGGGATGAGACTGATCAGTGTAGCTGAGAGGTTGAGACATATATGTATAATCAACACTTGAAAGCTGGTAAAGACCTTTTGCAACAAGGCAAACTTTGAAACTATTGATGGTACAATCAAGTTTCATTTTATTTGAAAATGCCCATTTACAAATTACTATGTTTTGAGGCAAAGTAGGGAAAATGTAACCACGCGCCATTAGGACTTAATGCATCAAACGGTGCCACACAAGATTTTTGAGAGCAAGAGAGATGGAAGGGTGTTCATATCAGGATGAGAAACAAGAATGGAGATTGGACAGGTTTGTGGATATTAGCATTGGTAAGATTGAGCACTTGGTAAGAGTTTCAGGCAAGGAACAGAGGTTTCCACTAAGAAGTTCCCAGGTATATCAGAGGTCTGCAAATTACTTCTCAGGATAGGTTTAATTTGATTGCACCTATATTTTGAGAGACAAATGAGTTGTGAAAGTTCAATTTCTGGTGGGATAATAGCACTAGTACCCAGCAGCTACACCCCTTTACAGATGGTAATGCACCACCAGCACCCATCATCCATTCTGTAGGTGTCCTAGCGACTGTGCGACCTGCAATGCCTCAGGCTGGTTGTAGAGAGCCCTCTGCTCCATTAGCTGGATGCGTGGGGGTTGGTTCGAAGTGTTATAATGGCCTACTTGCGAGAGTTTTTTTTTATTCCCTACCGATTTTGATAGTTTTTGAATGATGTCATTTAAGAGAGGTTTGAAAAATAAGTGCTTGTGAGTTTTATTGGGCATCGATTAGAAACCACCTATGACCAGTAGAGTGTGATTTTGGCTATCTTTCTCAACTCACCAATTGATGGGTTTTCCTCAAATTCTCTTCAGTTTTATCCTCTATAAAAAATGGTTATTAAAAACCACTCAAAACCGGAGCTCTTGTAAATGACCAAATCCCGTACTTTATAAAACGCCCATAATTGGTACCCAAAAGTCCCAAGCAGACCCTAAATGTGGAGAGATTGGCGACTACCAAGCTGTCCGAAAACTATTAAGCGACAGAGGTTCATGAATTGGGCAGAAAATGAGGATTATAACAGGACTATTGTGTTTGACGACGTTGGGGGTCATTAGAGTACAAAAGAGTTTGTAGAGGATTATACCTATGAGCGTGTTCCAATTTTCGATGAGGATCTCAATGCTGAGATCACCAATGAATAGTTTCCAGAATTTAAGAACGTTACAATGGTCATTCCATGGGCATACCTAAGAATGCTACTGATGCTCTACTTTCTATTGATGCCTTACTTGAGAAAGTATTCAAAATATTTGGAACCATAAAGAGTTATGACATTCAGGTTTGAAGCAACAGACTACAGGGATTTTGTTTGGTTTTGTGAAATTTGAGGAGGCAAGTTTTGTGACAACCATATCAATTCATCTTTTGTTATATGCTTGTCAATTTTTTCCTGTAGACTTCGCGAGTAACTCCCCACCATTTTGAGACATGATTGATCCTATATGCTTGGTTTACTGCACTACTTTATTAATCCAACCTCTTTTATGTTCATTTTATTCTGAGTTCTTTGTGAGCTTTTTTAATTTGTTTGGAGAGTAGTGCTATCTCTTATTTCTTATTGACTTTTGTCTCTTGAACAATGCAGTCATTGTAGTTGCTCGTTCATTTTATCAAATTTGTTGCAATTCCACCGCACCAAGATTTCTCTCATAACATGTCCCTTTAAGATGTTTACTCTTATCAGCATGTCGATCTTGAAATCTGTATGTTCATTTAAATCTTAGTTAGATCGAATTATTTGTTTGATTTTAATGAACTCCATCATGTTGTAATTTGTAAAGAGTTTGAGGAAAAATAATGGCAACTCAATTCATTCAATACTACATAGAACAATATACAAAGAATGCAGTGGTCCTAGTGGAGACACTTTGAGACAAGCTAAAATACAATGTTTCCACTTAAGGCTAGTATTCTCTAAATGTGATAATACAAAAGATATATACACTTGGTAGATAACGACAAGTGGTGGTAGAGTTATGTTTTATCTCTAACACATACTTTACTCAAAACTTTAAATTTGGTGATTAATGCTAGTATTCTCTAAATGTGATAATACAAAAGATATAAACACTTAGTAGATAACAGATGACTGGTGGTAGAGTTATGTGTTATCTCTAACACAGTTTACTCATAACTTTAAATTTGGTGCAGTTGGATCAACCTCCATTGTTCTACCGTGAAACCAACCCCCAACCGCGAAAGCATACCCTTTGGCAACAGTCGTCTGATTTTACTGGAGGTCAAGCTTCAATTTGGAGGTATTCATCATTCAATCCTTATGTATTCTTTCATAAAGAATAATGTTATGTAGTATAACATCAATATATGTGACTTTAGGTGATATGTCATCTTAAATTAAACGCATATCCCTACTTTTAAAATGGTCTATCAATTAATAACACTTGAATGCCATCTTTATTCTTTTGTAAATATACTTTGGAATTTTGTCGTTATCAGAACTTCCATGAGAATTTGATCATCTATCATGTACATCTTGTAGTGAAGTCGATTCACATGTCGATAGGTTCGACTGTGGACACTCTTAAGAAAGAACAAGAAGCTATACTTTTCAACCGAGTTGAGTTCAACATTGAATAATATTTGTCACTCTTTGACCAGGAGACATTATGTTCAATTCGCACCGGGAATCCTCGACAAACACTTCCCAATGCTTTTGCAATGTGATGAACGAATGTTCGCATTGAGCCATCAACCCTTTCCACGCCAAGAATCTCCTTTCTTCGACTCAAATATTTTTGGATGTTCGGAATCCACCTTCAACATGTATGGACATGGATCGAGATTTCTCCCCGGTATGCAATATCCGTATCAAGCTTATCCTACAAATACATCAGGTACGAGATTAATTTTGTAAACAATGTTGAAATTTTTAGGTTCTAATTTTGGGTATCTCTATTATTTTGTTGCAGTTAAGGATTTCCATAGTACAATGTCAAACTATCAATTTTTGCCTGAAAACCAGACTGGTTGGGGACAAGGAGGAAGTTTTCCTACAGAAGAAAATATTCAAGTTGCAGCAGCACCTATTAATTCAGTAACACAATTTGCCGATCCATTTTTCGCTCATCCTTCACCGAATTATGTGGGAGATTCCGGGATACCTAATCCAAATGCACGAGTTTTATACAATGTTGAGAATCACCTGCTTCAAGATTCTCAAGTTGTGTGCTGTGATGAGACGAGCCTCAATTCAAAAGTTGAGTCAACGTATTCGTTGCTCGATCCGCTGGAGGTGAATTCTAGCAATATATTTGCTCCGATAGACGCGAATCCTAATACTCAAGTGATGCAGAATGGCATTGAGAATTCAATGTCAGATGGTTTCTATCCACAATGTATAAGTTGGATATCTCAATATTCTAACGAAAATGTCACGATGCAGCCGGGAGTAAATAACTTGGTTTATCCGTTCGTGTTGGAAGGTTCGACCGATGGAAATTTTTCTTCTTCGAATTCTAATCCGGATATCAAGAAATGGACTTGATATCTACACAAGGATTCTAGAATTGTGTTTCCTTCGAAATATATATCTGCTCATGCTTTGTAAATTTCTTGAAATAATGGACTTTTAACTATGACAGCAGTTTTAAGTTTACAAATTTACAATTTGAAAGAAGGAAAAAGTTACCCTTCTTTGATTTTTATTTACCTGAAGTGTTGGTATTGGAATTGAAAATTCCGAATTTTTTGAGAATAAAAACATGACAATTTAATCTCCGTTTGGATACAAATTTATAAATAGTTTATCAATTAGACTACGTCATTGCCCTAATGGTTTTTTGGCAACGTAAGTCCAACAATCATCGATCTTGATGTCAAAAAAACCTTTATAAAGGAAACATAAGCTTTCTTGTCCTCTTCTGTAGAATCTCATCCTTACGGCCTACAATCAAGAATAAACAACTTAGTAGTTACCCGATCAAAAAATCCAATATAAATCGGAACTCATGTTCAAAAGGCTTAGACTACTTTTGAACTTTAAGTACACACTCACACAATAAAATATTTTACATGTATATAAAAAAAATTTCCTACTTTTTAATCATACATTCTTCTAAAAATCATTATTCAAAACTCTTTTTTCTTACCAAAATGGTTGTCAAACAGGCTCTAAGGACGACACTTTGGTGCCCATATATGACGGATTGTATCAATGTGTTTAGTACATTCTTATATAGATTATTGACTATCGAAATATACAACTACATCATCATTTAAACACACAATTCTTTCAACAAGCCCTTAAGCCACAAAGTTTCTTTGAGTGCTTCATTAGTGGAATATATTTAAAATCGATCGTGAATAGTGTAATTATGTATTGACGTTGAGACTATGAATTGAAAAATGCAACTACGTATTGAAGCCCCTGTTTGGCACCCATTATTTTGCATTTTTGGGGGTTGAAAATTTTTAGAATAGTGACTGATGGGAGAATGTATCGTTGAAATGAAGAGAGAATAATAATAATAATAATAATAATAATGCAACTATTCACGGCAAAACAAAATATAATAATAATAATAATAATAATGCTAATGATAATGATATTCATGGCAAACCCATTATATCTAAGCGTGCCCGAAGTCTTGGCTCCGAGACTTCGACTACCCTGAAATACTCGACCAGTGGACCTCCAATCTCCTTTGCCTTTTCGTCACTGTCGCTGCCCCACACAAAGTTTTGTGGTAGAGTTTAACATACCACTGAACTCAGAGGTGGGAATATTATTGTTGCATTCCACAATTATCCATATTGCATGCTATTAGCAGGGGGGAAAAAAAAGAAAAAAATTATTTGACTCTTCATGTGCCACATGAACCAGACAAGGGAAATTCTCGTCTAATGACTCTTGTTATTTGTACATAATTTGGTGTACATCAAGGGATTCACCCCTCGCAGGAGGGTGGGGTCCACTTGGAGAAAATATTTTTTATTCAAGTGGGTCTCACCCTCATGTGAGAGGGTGGATACCTTGATATATACCAAATTATGTACAAGTAGATAAACTCATTGTACAATTACGACATTTCTAGCTGAAATTTGACGGGTAAATATATCAGTAGCTTGAACCATTTTAATTGACATTGAAAACCAAATTTATTTGAATTGCCATGGTTTTTATCAATACTATCTAGCATTTCCGTCGCAATTTTGTTGGGTTTTACACGAATTGTGAATTATTTAAGTATTTCATCAACTTTATTTAAATTTTCTTAAATGACATTTTCAATTAAAGGATTGACTCGTGAATATGGATATTTAAGAATTTTTTTAGCCGGAGACTAATTCGTTTACTTAAAAAAAATATAAAAATAGACTAGTCGAAAAAATTTCTCGATTTTTTTTTTTATTAACAAGAATTCAAGATATATTAATGTATTTATATCTGGAGTTTGTTATATCTAGACTAGAGTTGCAAACTCATGTAATGAACATTCGAATCTCTAAACAAGGCCAAAATCTAAGGTTATATTCGTCATTTAGACGTGCGAGTTTCACAATGTGTAACCCAATCCGGATATGCCACGTTGAACCTATGACAGCAGATTCTGCGTTGTCAAATCCTGATTCATCCATTACATCCTACCAGGCCACATCAGAAGCCCCGAGTTAAACTCGGTGCAAACCCAGCTTAAAGCCAACAGAACGACTCACCTACATAGGTCTCACTGTATTTTACGCTCAGTCTCACACTCTCTCTCTCTCTCTAAAACAGCCATGAGGATACTGCCGAGAAAGGCACCAATGAACAGCCGTGACTTTATCTCTCTAGCCATTACTATCTCTCTGCTTCTCGCGATTTCCACTGCTGAAGTTTTCTTCGAAGAACGCTTCGAGGGTAGTGTTCTCTCTCTAATTAATGGAAATCGGAATAATTTGTTAATTGGGATTTAATTTGCTGTCATTTTTATGAATATTCTGTTTTATGATGGATATTATGATTAATTTGTGGAAGATCTTGGTTTATTTATGTTATATATATTGATCTGATTGTTTTGGATGAAGGAATGTACTTTAGGTCTAAATGCTTTTGCATTGTCGACGCTTTGGTTTAGAATTTTCGTGCTCTGATTGTGAAAATGCTGAATTAATTGTTCGACGTGTGAGCTATGATTGGACTGAGTCTTTTGTACGCGAGTCGTTAAATTTAGGGTATGTTGGACGATTAATTGTCGATTCACGTCTTGAGCTTTTGTTTGATCTGTTTTAATACACTGTAATTATATAACATGCGGTAGTATAATCACGGCTGATGGTGTAGCCCCTTTCACATTACGTTTCCTGTGAAAATTATGGCAGAATTATAACGGGATAATCCTTGTGAGGAAGCTCAGTTACATTTACGAATGTCCCAGTGATTACTGTGCATGTCATGCATATTAAAGTAACTTTTGTATGATTCATGGTATTCTTGCTTCCCGAGGAGTGATAGTGAAGGAAACTACTCAAAATTATAAAAAAGTAAAGGAGCAGAAAGTAATAGAATATATGTAACGGATAACATAATGTGTCTGGTGCAAAAGTGAAGGCTTCTGTTTGCTTTTGGACGAGTGGCATTTCTCTATTCTTAATTTGGAGTATTTCTTCTTTTGTCAATATATCAAAATTGTCTAAAAAGAAGAGAAGACATAAGATTCATTATGTTTTTCCTTTCGTTGAATGAAAAATCTAACTGCTTCTTGGATCGGTTGTCTTGTGCGGATTTTTATTTTTGGTAATTTTGAAGATGGATGGGAAAACCGTTGGGTTAAATCTGAATGGAAGAAAGATGAGAACATGGCTGGAGAGTGGAATTACACCTCTGGCAAATGGAATGGAGATCCTAACAACAAAGGTAACCTTTTTAGTTTGTAATGTCCGTGAGCAACATATATCTACATAGTTATTTACGTATAATGGAAACACAAAAAATTAAAGGGGTGTTAGCATATATGTCAAATCCAGGTATCCAAACCAGTGAGGACCATAGGTTTTATGCCATCTCAGCTGAGTTCCCTGAATTCAGCAACAAAGAGAAGACCTTAGTGTTCCAGTTCTCTGTAAAGCATGAACAAAAGCTTGACTGCGGTGGTGGATACATGAAATTGCTGAGTGGTGAAGTTGATCAGAAGAAATTTGGTGGTGACACCCCATACAGGTTATACACCATATTCTCTTTCGTCATGTTAGCTTTTTCTGTTCTTACTGGGTTAATGTCGTCCCTGTTGAAGTTGCTGATTGGTTTTATTACATGGTTGACTGCAGCATCATGTTTGGACCAGACATTTGTGGCTACACCACCAAGAAAGTACATGCTATTCTGACATACAATGGGAAAAATAATTTGATCAAGAAGGATGTCCCATGTGAGACTGACCAACTGACCCATGTATATACTTTTATCCTCCGACCAGATGCCACTTACAGCATCCTCGTTGACAATGAGGAAAAGCAATCTGGAAGCTTGTACTCTGACTGGGATCTACTTCCACCAAAGACGATCAAGGACCCTGAGGCGAAGAAGGTAACTGTTGCTCCAGATGATGTATCTTTTAGTGCTTTATGTTCTGGTGATATACTTTCTACATCTCAATGACAGCCTGAAGATTGGGATGACAAGGAATACATCCCAGACCCTGCAGACAAGAAGCCAGAGGTAAATGAACTGTAATTTTTATCCTCCGCTATATTCCAAAATGAATATTGGCAATAAGAGAACTAAATGGTAACAAGATGATAAAATTCATGGCTGCAGGGTTATGATGACATCCCAAAGGAGATACCAGATCCTGAAGCCAAGAAGGTGATTAAAGCTAATTTCCATTTTCCCTTGCTTACCAATAGTTAACTTGTATAAGCTGCTTTGCAATTACAGCCTGAAGACTGGGATGATGAGGAGGATGGTGAGTGGACTGCTCCAACTATCCCCAACCCTGAGTACAAGGGCCCATGGAAGCCAAAGGTTTGTGGAATCTCAATTTAGGTTTTTTGACATTGTTCGTTAAATAGACTCTTATAACTAGCTTCTGCCATTGCCAGAAACTTAAGAACCCGAACTACAAGGGCAAGTGGAAGGCACCAAGGATTGACAACCCAGGTTCATCATCTTCTCTTTTCAGTGAGCAAGTGCATCGCACTGGTGTCAGAAGTTTTAATGTTGGCTAATTTGATACTACCATGATTACAGATTTCAAGGATGACCCAGATCTCTATGTTTTCCCGAATTTGAAGTATGTCGGCATTGAGTTGTGGCAGGTAAAAGAAATGATTGTCCTTTCACGTGAATTTTTTTTTTGTATGAAATTCATTAAAATTCTCTGATGAGGAATAATATAAATTTTCAGGTGAAATCTGGAACATTGTTCGACAATATTTTGATTTGTGATGACCCTGAATATGCTAAGAAGCTAGCCGAAGAAACTTGGGGCAAGCAAAAGGATGTATGTGGCATCATTAGTTGTCAAAAGCATTTTCTCTTCTATATTTACTCGTACTTCAATTTTCCATGGGTGAAAACAACCCATTGATATGTGAACTATATCAATTTTCAGGCTGAGAAGTCTGCTTTTGATGAGGCAGAAAAGAAGAGAGAAGAAGAGGTAACTTAATCTCACTGGATAGCAGTCATTGAGTGGATTCTTTAATCTTTCTTTTAGTGAACATTTTTTTGTTTTTTTATACAGGAAACAAAGGATGATCCAGTGGATTCAGATGTAAGCCGTCAATCCTGTCTTCATATTTTATTGTTTATGAATATCTTTTTTTGCATCCTGATTATGAGGCCCTTTCTTTTCATAGGTCGAGGATGGAGATGATGATGCCGATGATGCTGAAGCTGACGATGTTGATGATGATGCGAAATCAGACTCAAAGGAAGACCCTACTGCCTCAGTGGATGATGATTTACATGTAAGAACATCAATCTATATTTATTTCAAATTCACGAGTAGTAGTCATTTGCTTGGTCTCATTTCATGTCCCATATTTTGCTTCTGTTCTGCAGGATGAATTGTAGGGTGTTCAAGTACTAGTTTTCTGCTGATAACGTGGCTCGGAAATTCTTCCTTCTCTACTTTTAGTTGTTTAGATATAGAGTTTTTCTTATTGAGGAAAGAAGCATTTGCAGGGCTGCATGATAATATATGTGCCTGATTGCTTTGGTTTCATGTGACTTGCATTTAGAATTACAAGAGGACTTGTTTTATTCTGTTCTGTTTTAGATTTAACCTTAAGCCTGAATTCACTTTTTTGTTCTATCTATAAACCTAAGTTCTTTAAACTGAGTTCCGCACCTTTGACATGTTTGGTAAGTCGAATTAAACGGAAATGGACTGAACTACTCATGAATTTTTCACATAAGCTTAGTATGTGTTTGTGAGAAAATTTGGGAAAAAAAAATTAGGGAAAAGTTGTGTTTGTGGGATTAAAAATGATTTTAAAAAATCTCCTCCAAACTCGTCTTAATCTTGAGTCAAACTCTTAATTCTGAGTGAGTGTTTTGTTGTAATCGTGGAATTTGGATCAATGAGTTGGAAATCTCATAATCGACGTGTAATGAAACAAGATACTTCAGAACTACTCGTTCTTATTCAGAAAAGTCTAATAAGATTTTATGTGTTCATTTTAAATAAAATTATATCCATCTAGTTACTCTACTAGTCCTTACACGACTATCCATCTGCATTGAGGACTATATCACTTTATTTAAAGCACAATTATATCAGTTTAAATAGGATATAGACTAGTTCAGATTGAATAGAACTCTACTCTATCCATTTAGTTACTCTATTCGTCGAGTCCTCACACGACTATCCTTCGGCATTGAGGTCTATATCAATTTAAATAGGGCTCTACTAGTTCAATCCAAATAGATCTCTCTCATATCAATTTATTCCTAATAAAACTTTTATCATTGTCAGCCAAACAAGGACTCTTAACGGTTCATTGAAATATGACCATCTTTATTAGTTTAGTGCAAGCACAACTCTATAACAAGAGACCTCCAATAACTATAAATTGAATCTCCTAAACTTTAACCTATGTTTGAATTCCATAATTCTCAAAGAATCTGTTCAAGTCCAAATTATTATTGGCAATTCCTTAGTCAAAATCATATGATAATTGAATTGTATTAGGAACTTATCAAATTGTAATCAAAGTCAAAATATGAGTTATTGAGTCCTCATTATAGCAAACGAGTTGAAATTGATAGTATATGTTTTGAAGGAGTCCGAGATGTATAAAAAGATCACATATGATCAAAAGAATGTAATTAGAAGTTTAAAGAGTGTTAGAGAGCCGTACAACTTATGCTCTAAATTCTCAATCGCAACTTGCAATATATTTTTCACATAGAAAACATTGGAATTTGGATAAGACTATTTCTAGAATAATTGTATCCATTTGAGTTAGCTTTTCAACTCATTTTGAATCATCTCAATCGAACATCGGAAGAGAAAGTTGTGATAAAAATACTGATGATTGTTCAACTATTGCTCGCCTGTCGCTGGCTTGGAACTCTCGAAGAACAGATCGATGTTCAAAAATCTATTTTGCTTCTAATACTTAATTTTTCAACCCCTTTTTATCACAGACATTTTTCCCTACATATATCCTATCATATAAACGTCCAAAAGTGTGTTGAAACATATTTTACATAGATATCATTCATTTGAAGATCCAAGATTCAAAAATTCAACCATCATATTATTTGAGACATAATTTCATTCAAACTTTGATTTGTTGATTTAGCATTATTGTTTTATATTTACAAGCCAAAACACACAAGATCTTTTAATTAAACACCATATTATTTAATCCACCGGAGATAAATCGACACTAAGGATCGGGAGTTGTTGCAGAAGCACAAATTCAGGAAGATTAAGGTTAGATGCCAAAGTCGGTATCTAACGTCATGAGCATACAGTTCAAGAGGGCATTGCTGCTATTGCAATGACCCATAACTTCTCCAAGATCGAATGCCCAATGGTCGGAATTATCACCTCTCATCCCCCTTTCCTCTCGTCCGCACAAAATCAACTATTGAAGTTACCCTTAATTTTTTTAAAAAAAAATTGCAGTCTAATTCTTGATTTATAAAACTCAATATCTCTCACTTTATCCATAATTGTATGCGGGTAATATCAATTTCCAATACAATATAACTTGATATTGGGACCTTAATTTAATCATTACACGTTTCTATGAGATTCAATTAATTCACAAAATGCCAAAAAACAAAGGAGACTGCCTAATTGATTCTCATATAAACACCAAGTAAAAGTCAAACTTTTGAAGGTTGTATCCTTTAATCAAACAAAAATTGTTTCTTGATTCGGGAAGGAAAAAAAAACCCAACAACAACCAAAAACCCAAGTTTCCAAAAAAAAAAAAAATTCCAAAAATTCTGAAATTAAATTCCCAGAAATTCTTTATTTTGTATTTTAGGGCAAAAATTCGCATACTTGAATTGTAAAACACAATAAATGAATTTCAACCCTAAATTTTTTTTTTCTTTTTTTTTGTCAATTGTTTAACGTGGAGCCGGCTCTGATACCGCTTGTTAAACTTTATGGAAATTTAAACTTGAAAATCTTATTATTTTATTGTCAAAATATTTCATGTCAAATCATCAAGAAAATTAATAATACGGAACCTACATTAATTCTTTGAAAATAATTATTCAATACTGGATTTTGAATCTTAATTATTGATTTTTTTGGTTCTTGATTTTGATTTTGGTTTCTTGCTCCATAATTTTGATTGTCTTGTTATTCGATTTAATTGCTTAAATCATTCTTCTTGATTCTTTTTTTTTTTTTTCGATTCTTGTACTTAATTGTGGATTTTGGATTTTTAATATGCTTTCTCTTGTATTCTTGTGTTGATAAAATGACACAAAAAAATGAGAATTTGCATATGAATTGTGGATCATAACCATATTTAGTCCATTATCAAATACAACTATAATGGATTTGGTCTCTACACATATAATCCGGCCCAAATTGAAACAAGAAGCAAAGTCATCATTTTAAACAAAATAAAATTTGGCGAGCAACATGAAACTTCACAGTAAGTCCATTGGCAACAATGTTTCTTTCTCTGAAATATTAGATCTTAGTCTCTCTTGTACTTCTTTTGCGGTTTTGAAAGAATATGGTTTTGATACAAATGTGACCCGCGTAATGGTTTTGAAAGAATATGGTCACAAGTTGGAACTGCCTCTCTTGTACTTCTGCTGAGGCTAACCCAAGTGTTCAACCTCACGACTTTACACTGGGACTTCGGAATTTCTTTCAGGAAATTGGATAAATCTGAGAAAGGTCGAGCATTTCCATCAACCACTACTAAACTCGAACTTGATAAATCTTTAGAATTCGATATTGTATGATCATGTTCGTGTACTTTATTGCTCTGTGGAGACTTGTTCGAGTTTCCATCAAAACTTAGCTCTGTTCTAGCAGATGAATTGAATAGGTCGTAGAGTTCCATCTTGTGTTTTATCCTCTTGAGGGTACGAAAAAGATCTTTACTATCGAAACTTTGACATCAAAGTATGAGGACTTAACGATATTTATTCTTTGCTTATTGTCACATTTATGTTATACCTTTTTTATCATATGCTTATCATCAATTTTCTGTTCATAATTATATTTAGTCTTCAATAACGGTTTTTATACAAATACATCGTTTACGTACTTTGAACAAGGGCAAAATTTTCAATCCCGTTTTATTGTTTTTCAATATGAGGAACAATTAAGTCATTTTTGTCCTAATTATTTGGACGAAAACAAGATTTGCTAATTAATGAAAATTCAATATATAAACGCGACGAAAAAAAATTAGGAATATGAGTGCAATACAAAACAAAAATTTAGAATATTTAGTGAAATTCAACAGTGATGAAATAATAGAAATCTTGTGGTGAACCTAGAGAAAATATAAATTAATTCTTATCATCTTCAAAAAAAAAAAAACACTAAGAGCACCAAACTGGGCGTAAAATTCCATGTAGTTAGTTCATCAAACTCACTACATTGTTAAGTCCGCCACCCCCAACGGACATTTCGAAGCTCCATTAAACCCCTTCTTCTTCTTCTCTCTTATAAAACAAATCCAAAACACGCACTCGTTCACACACGACAAATTTATCTGAAAATGCAATCTGCAATTTCTCTCTCGCTCTCTTCTCCTTCGCCGATCACCAGATCGGACTGCACTGCTGCAGCCGCCGCCAATGCGTATTTGTGTACGCCGAGATCGCTCCGATTTTGCGGTCTAAGAAGAGAGGTGTTTGAATCCAAGTCGTTTAATTCGTTGTCCGTTTCGACTCGATTAGTGCCGTGTTCTAGAGATTCGAGCTTTAAGAAGGTTTATGCTGCGTTGCAAAGCAATGGAAAGCCGTCCAAGGGAGGATTTGATTATGATCTTGTAATAATTGGAGCTGGTGTTGGTGGACACGGTGCTGCACTTCATGCTGTTGAGAAGGTATGACTAAAGTCTGAGTATGCTAATTTGTTTTCCTTTGAATTCAGCTGCTTTTTTCTTTTTTAAATTCAGTTAATCTGTTGTAAGCTTCAAGGACAGTAGTTATTAAGATTTTTATTTTGTTAATTCAAGGTTCAATAATACTTGGAGCAACTAAAAGTTCCAAATACATCACTGTTAAATAAATTTCTTTTAGTTGGTTAACATATTTTTTGTTTCTTCTACCAAATGTTTATGAGCTAAGGCGAGAGCTTGATTTATTGCACACAGCAAGGGAGGAACTTTGTCTACTTACTTTCCAAGGATGTTAAGTAAAAATGCATTCTTGGTCCAAAATACTAATGTCCATGTGACATACCTATATTTTGATTGTATTATTATATGTGATGCCAGACGTAAAGCATTTTTCTATATCTATTTAGCAGACAATCATGAGAGCATAATTAACTAATATGTACTGCAGGGTTTGAAAACTGCAATTATTGAAGGAGATGTTGTCGGAGGAACTTGTGTAAATAGAGGTTGTGT